GTAAAGGTTTGAATAATTACTAATATGATGTTGAAAATTAATATACTGCAGAATTGCAGAGAAAATACAGTTGGTGCACATTGCAACGTTTGCGCTGACAGTTTCTATGGTCATCCGGAGTTTGGAGGCTGCAAACCATGCCCATGCCCACAAATCGATAAAAGATTTTCAAGTACCTGTGTGGTTCGTGCGGAAAACGAACCTATTTGTCACTGCAAGCCAGGTACATAGACAGGAATGTGAGAAATTATGGAATGAAGTAGGAAAGAAATGTTTTTTTAAGTTCTTTGCAAGCTCTATAGTTTTTATGTCAGATTTAAGGATAGAATTTTATTTATAACTTTATATACCGTAATATTAAATACAATATCCGTTATAATGTGTATTTTTTTATTTATGTCTAATTAATATTCTCGTATTAATATTCTCGTATTATATGGCACACATAAATAGAATCAATTCTAACGTGAATTGTAAATCGCTTGTAATGTAGGCTTTGTGCTTTTTATTTTTCACGTGCGTCACCTCCTATTTGCTATCAGGTTACATCGGTAGAAAATGTGAACGTTGCGCCTACGGCTATTACGGCTCTCCCGGCCTTCCGGACGGCAAGTGCGTTCCGTGCAATTGCAACTTGGCAGGAAGTTTGAGCGACGTCTGCGACGGCGAGACAGGACAGTGCAAATGCAGGCACGGATCTACTGGCAGGGATTGCTCTCAGTGTACGGCATATCGACATGTTTACATAAACAATGTTTGCACTTGTAAGTTTATTCATGAATCATGTAACTTTGTCTTATGTTAAAATTAAAAGAATTATATAAATGAAAAATTTAAACAAATTAAAATAAATTTAAAATTTGACATTTATCTTTTTGTAATTTTTTGATTGCACAATTACTATATACAGATTTATAATTTTATTTTATGTAAAATTTAGCATGCGATGACAACTGTACGGGAATTCTGCTCAATACCATAGCGGTACTATCTGAAGAACTAGCCGCAGGAACAGGTCACATAGCAGATGGATATATTCCACCTCCATGGCTAGAACTGTCCTATGTTGATACCAACGCTACTGCGTATCTCGAGGAACTGGAGCTGCAAACTCTTGTGCAGCAACGGATGAAAAATGTGCCGTGGCATGAATACAAGAAACTTGAGGGAGATGTTGAAACTATATTAAGAAACGTATGTCACTTTAATATAGTTGGATGTAATAATAATATAATTGTTATTTCTAAAGAAAACTATATAACAAATTATAAAATTCTTCTTAAGCTTACTTTAATAATTTATGTCAAAATTTAGAAGTAGATGCGAATTACTAATTGCCTAAACCGACTTTTAGGATAATTCTATTTTATTTTAATTTGCAGCTTAACAAGCAAGCAACATATGCCGATATGTTGAAAACCAAGAGTGGCGACTTGAAAAATAATGTTTTTACAATAAAGCTCATGCTCGATAATTTAAAAAGAGACATAGGAGGTATTGTAATTTGCTTTAATTCATCCCAACAAATATAATATTATTGCATTATATTATTATTAAAATAATCACATTATAATATTGTTAAAATAATCTTTTTTCGAATTGCAGATACAATTTCACAACTCAATCAATACAGCAACGATAATAGAAGAATAGAAATCAAGAAGGCCTTAAAAACAGCAAAGATGATCTTGAATCGTCTAAAGTCTGTTGATATAGCCAAGAAAACCACAGAAGTGGAGAATTTCCTCGAGTAAGTATTATTTTAATTGCATGGATAATTTTAATAAGTTTAAGAGAAGAAAGAGAAGAAAGAGTACCTATTTTTTTAATAAATTGTAATTAAATGATACTTTTTGAATTAATTAGCGGTGTTACCCCATATGTGGCGTGGCTGAATTCTCTTTATGATGTGACTGAGCCTTTGATGGCCATCCAGGATGACACTAAAGATTACGAGATAAAGTTGGATGATATGAGACCGATCATAGAGAACACTATGGAAACGCTGTTCACCTATGACAGTTTATACAATCGTATCAATGGGACATTCGTTGAGGCTAAACATCAGTGCACTCGTATCAGAATGCTGCGTGATGAAACGAACGAAACGATTACCGAAGGAAAAAACCTTCTCGATGAGGCTCAGGGTCTGCTCATTGACGCGGAGAATAACATCCAAGTAAATAAATAATTTTAAGATTTTTTTTAAACTCGTAATAATAATTAATTACGAGAGAGAAATATAGAAAAAAAGACTAATATGAAAAATAGAATAATAATAAGTAATTTTGAATTTTTTACTTCGTTATTTGAATTTCGTCAGTGTGTGTGTCTTCTAAGAGTCATAAACATTTGAATTTATTCTTAAATTCAAATGTTTATATGATTTTCAGGACCTCCCAGACTCACGAGATAAATTAACATACTGGACAGAGAAGCTGAGCATGAAGGAGGAACTCCTATATCGACTAAATTATGAGTATGGTGAAAAATATGTAGTACCGGCAATGCAACACGCGAAAAATCTATCCAGTTATGTCGACCAGTATGTCAGGTGTGCATCCTGTTAGCATAATTAATTTAATCAACAATTACATCGCGGGCGACATCTTATCTTGACGAAATCTAGCGAATAACATAATATCGACAATTTGATAATATTGTAACATTTTTGTTGAGTAGTTTGTTTGCCGAGACACGAGATATTGCAGCTAGTCCTCTGAAGGCAAGCCAGGCATACAAAAATATCGTTGACGGATTGCAAGCAGCGAAAGTCACTGCGTTGGCAGCCAAGGAAGCCGCTGAGGATGTATATAAAAAGGTAAAAAATGAGGCGATTTTCTTTAACCTTATAGAACTTTATTAGTCTAATTTTCCTTTTTATTATTATTCTCTTTTTATTATTATTATTTAGGTTCTGAAACTAATGTATATCAAAAAGTTCTACCATTTTTTTTTTTTTCATTTCTTATAATCTGTGCTTAAATCTGTGATTAAATCAAATTATCAAGTCTCCGTTGTTTTAGACTTTATAACTAAATTATGAAAAAATTGTGCTTTAATATCCTAAACTTGAATAATCTTATTTTTCATACTAATACAATTTCATAATTTTGAGAATCTGCTGTAAGTAAAATACAGATATTTTTTTCAAGGCTTTCCCTCCTTTGGGACAGAAATCGCTATTGGATGATGCTAAGGAAATACTAGCCAAGTCTTCACAGCAGCGGGAAATAGCGAAGAAGCATGGTAAACTAGTCAAGAATGCGAATGCTGCGTTGGAGGCTCAAAAGCAAGCGGTGCTCGTATTGAAAGATACATTGAACAGCACTGGGATAAAGGACAACGAGATAAATGTGAAATTACGAGAATTGCAGAGTAATAGTAAAAGATGTAAGTCTGTATTATAAACTATATAAATATAATTATATTATAAACTATAATATTGCTAACTTCAAGTACGATACAGACTATCGAATCCACTTTTTTTGTAACTCGTAACATGTAAATGCACAGTATATGTACAGCCAAAATATATAATAATTATAAATATATATATATATATATATATATATATATATATATATATATATATATATATATATA